TCTATGGCGAATGCGCTACAAAAGATGGTCTTAAATACTTCTAGATTAACACTTACTATATCGATATAGTGGATAAGGCTAAGCACTTATGGGCGATATAGTCTATATTTTATTAGTACTATTCTATAGCCAAATACTACGTCTACTTGTTAGATATGTCAACAAGGAAAAGGAAAAGGAAAAGGAAAGGTAGTATTACATCTAGTAAGGCTAGCTAGGAGCCGGCTTTTAGATTAACTTAGTGGTTTAAGCGTAGGTGGACACTCTAGGAGCTTATTAGCCTAACTACAGTTAAGTTCTTCTCGCAAGAAGGGAAGAAGCTTAGTAATAAGAAATTACTGCAATTATTAATTTATAAGACTATAGGTATTCCACTTAAAGTGCTTAACAGGGCCCCACTTTCTTAGTTTAGTATTAACGAGCGATTGCAATAGGCAGAAGGCCAGATAACTAAATATAATAAGGATTGAGCATACTCTATGCAAGGCATCCTTAATATTAAGCTAGCGCTAGTGTATGGCGAAGGGGTAGCCGGCGCTTTTAAGCGTCTCTGGGGTAAAGTTAACAAGCTAGAGAGATGTATCCAAGACCTATAGCACACAGATCCGCGCGATGACAAGAAGCGTATTATGGACATAAAGGGAGGTCTATTAGAGGGCTCGTACTATTGGCTCCTACATTATTCCAGCTTTAAGTAATGGCGAAGTGACCCATAGAGTCGACTACTATGGATTAAAGGGGATCCTAGTAAGGGAAAGACAATGCTACTTTATAGTGCTACTAAAGAGCTTGGAAAATTAAGCTCTAATAACCTATCCTTCTTCTATTAAGGCATAAACTTATCTCTTAATAACGCCACTGCTATACTACGCGGCCTACTCTACCTACTTATTAGCCAGCAGCCGTCACTGGCATTACACCTATGGAAGCGGTATAACTAAGTAGGTTAGTCCCTATTTAAAGATATAAATGCTTAGATTATTGTATTAGAGATGTTTATAAATGTAATAC